TGTGGTTTGCTTACAGAATATCCCAGTGTCCGGCCGTCTGGGTTGCTGACTGCTCCTCTCCAAGGCACATTATCATCATTGATTTCCCTCTGAGATATATTTTTTCTTATCTTGACCTTCGCTTTGTTTGCTGTTCTGGAATAGGCCTGGAAAGCTGCAGATTCAGTGATTTTGGTTCCTAGCAAGCTCAGCACAATTGCGTTAATTGCTTCTTTGCTGACAGAAGTGAATTCTGCAGGGAAATGGGTATTTTTTCCTATTTCTTGCCCTGTGTACACAGGATTGTCTTGCTCGGTGAACAGAAATGTGAGACGTATTAGTCCGCAGAGCGTGCTGGGGACTAATGCTGCTAAATGGCAGGCACCCCAACCCTTCTGCCGGCTCCTGATGGAAATATTTTTTTTTCCATCAGATCCCAAGTTTGACCCTGATTCCTCTTTATTTTATAATGTCTTGCACTCTTCCCAAAAGGTTCAAATGTATTAGAAGTCTGATCCAAAGCCCATGGTAAGACGCCCATTGACTCCAATGGCCTTTGGATCAGCCCTGTATGTTTGTGTAGTATTGATATGTGCGGTTAAACAGCTGTTGTGTTCCACCCCAGAGGTGACTATTTCTTGGGGGTGACGGGGCTCTCTCTCTCACATCCATCTTTTCTCCCATCACGGAAGTACTGTCAGCGCTGGGCTAGAACATGACCGCTGTTTAACCCCATGCCCACCGATGCTACACAACAGGGTGCCAATTCAGATACTATTTGGGGTATTTCTTGCTTACCCACACAATGCATGAGCTGGTGCTGCCAGGAGTTGAGATCTGGGTGCACTCCCCCGTGCTCTGCTATGCCATTCCAATTGCTTACAGCCTTCTCAAAAGATCACTGACTCAGGTTGAAAATCCTCATTCTTTGTCTCAGGCTGGCACGTGTGCATGGGGGTGGTTTGAAGACCACCGTTCAGCAGTCTTTGAGGATGGAACACGGTGCCTTAAGGTTGCAGCTTTTATGACATATGTCAGGAAATTCAAAAGGATGGCTTCCACAGCCACAGTACTGAGCCCTGATGCATGCTTGCCAGAAGGTGTTCTATTTTACACCGGATGCAGGAATGGTAAATGGTCTCTGCGTTGATAGGGTCAGACTGCCACAGGGGTAAATTAAGTGAGACTCCTTTTGAACTCAGTTGCTCTATGCCAGTTTAAACCAGCTGAGGATCTGGTCCACAATTCACTGTTTACTGTCGTATTTAGGCACCTAGGGCAATGCATAGACACACACAGGATCTGGTACCTTTTTAAAAATGGTGTATGCACAGCTCCTCAGCTGGTGTGTGTCAGCATAGTGCCATAGAAGTCAGTGGAGTCATACTGACATATACCAGTGGAGGTGCTGGCCCTTTGCCTAGTGTCCAGGGGGTAGTGGGTGAAATCTATTTGTCCTGATGATGCTGATAGAGCATTGAGTGTTTATTTGACGTTCACCTTCAATTGCACACAACCCTGCCTGGCTCCTGAGTGACTAAAAGGAGTGAGGACCTTGCTTCTTGGGCTGTTGTACAATCAGAGGCTTGCTGAATAACTCTCCCAAGTATTCAGAGCCCTCAATCCAGTGGTGAGGGTCAACTGCCCTAGGAAAACACCCACTTCCTCACTGAAACAACAAGGAGTCCATGGCACCTTAAAGACTAACAGATTTATTTGGGCATAAGCTTTTGTGGGTAAAAACCACTTCTTCAGATGCAGACGACTACTTCTTCCTCACTGAGTCTCTTAAAACACCTCAATGAAGGGGAGAAAAGGTCCATGTGGACCCAGACTCTCTGTAGGTGACTGTCTAATAGTTCAGCGATTCATTGAACATCCCGTGCCCAGGGGGCTTTGAGAAGGAAACTCAGTGAGAAATTCCTTCCTTCGTTCTCGAGGGAGAAATCTATCTTTAGTCATTGATAATCCTCACTGTGGCTTTATGCCCATAATCCCCTCCACTGACATCCTCCCCCAGAGCAGATGTGAGGTAGAGAAATCTGAACAGCTGACATGAAGGCTATGGGGGATTAGCTGCAGGCAGCAGCCTGACTAGCAATCCTGTCACATCACTGGATAGGTGAATTTAGCCTTGAGGGAGCTTTAAAGGGGTGGGGGAGAATGTTGCTGAGGAGAGGGGAGTGAGGATATTTCTCATGCCACCTGATTCTTCCCTGTGGCAGGAGATGCTGACAACTCACTGGATCTCAGAGCCACTGCTAAGTGCACTGTATTGTGTTTGAGGTGATGGTGTGGAAACAGTGTGACACTTCCAGGAGCTCATTTATAGTCTGGGCTTGAAGGATGCTTTCAAACCATTATTTGTTAGTGTAAATCCAGCATCACTCTACTTAAACCAGCGGAGTTGTGCTGAGTTTGCACTGTCTGAGGGTCTGGCCCATTAAGTTCAATATGTGACACAGAGACCTGTTGGCAAAGGTTCCCCTGTTCTTTGCAAACAGCTGTAACTGAAGACGTGACAAACTCTCTACACCAAACACGTCTCACGGGCTATTTTTATCCATAAAGAGTAGCATGTAAGGTATCTCAAGACTCCTAATCGTTGCGAGATGTATGAGCGGATAATGTTTAAGGGATAATGTATATTGGGAATATTGAAAGTACGCTGTCTGGACTTGGAGCAGAGATTAGTCACCAGGAGGTCATGTGTCTCGGTGATGACCCAATCAAGCAAAAGAGAGTTGTCACCCCTCCCTAATCAGCCAACCGGGTAACGCAAGGTTCTGTTGTCTACCCTTGCCACTGTCAATGGAAAACCATCAGAAACTGTGACAAACACTTGAAACCAGGGAAAGGTAGAAAAGAAACTGTAGCAAGCAGGGTTCACCCTGCCTGTGAATAGAAACCAGTCTGTTTTCAGTGTAACACAATGTAGGATAAGGCACTTTGTATCCATTCACTGAAGAAAATCCCTGGCCGGGATGGGGGGGTGCTTTCATGAACTTTTGGCTGTTGATTCTTGAGAAACCAGCCAGCTCTGCAATAGACTGAACTTCGGGAGGAAATCTACGTTATTAGCTAGGAAAGGTAACAATTGATAAGTGTAGATCCCAGTTCATTTTTTGACTTTTTTTTTTTTAATTTTAACTACTTGTTTCCAGCACACTCTTCTTTCTATTTAAATTTTTATTCATAAATAAACCTTATTTTGTTTTATTATAAATGCTCAAAAGTGCTGGCTGGTTTGCAGGAGGAGTGTTTAAGGTTAAACTGGGGTACACTGCACCTTTGGGTGCAGGGGGTCTGGGATTTATGCATGTAGCCAGTGTCAGGGGTGGGGATATCACAGGGGAACAATTCAAAGGGACTTGGGGGTTGGGGTGCACCTCTTGTTAATTTGCAAGGTGAAATAAGGGCTGGCATAGCCCAGAGGAGAGAGCTTGAGGGGCTGGCAGGCCAGGTTACTGCCCCAAAAAAGGGCTCCCTCTTGCTGATGGAAGGGGTAACAAGGTGACTCTCAACTCTGGGTGCCCTGAGAATGTCACACAACATTCATACATCTTATTGCTTGTAAGACTCTCTTAGAGGCTTTAAAATAAACCTGATTCTACCCCCCTCCCATCACTTACTGATGTGTTTGTTCTTATTCTACTTGGAAACCATTCAGGGCCCTCTTCCCTCTTTTGTAGAGAGCTGGAGTTAACCCTCAAAACACAGTATTGGCCCAAAACACAATGGCTGTTCAAGTGTTTGGGTCAATGCAGTGGGATATTGTTATGATTTTGTGAACAAGCGAATGGGATTGTATTTATATAAATGCAGCAGTACGTCTTGCTAACCCAAATTGACTTTGTGTCTGTATCATCAGTGGTATCGGTACCACCTTGGAATATTGCTACAGAGCCATCAGGAAGAGCAAAAACATTGCTTTAGAGTAGCTCCTATTAAAAAAAAATAGTGTTTTGGCTGTTTATTTTTCATCATGGTAGATTTTTGTAGTAAATATTTAGGATACAGAGGTCTCTTGTTATCAGATTATTATATAACTTTCTTTTTTTAAGGTAGGACAAATTTGGGATAACACCTTGACACTGAGTCTTTTGTAAGTGTAGACAACACCTTACAACACTATAGCAGCACAGCTGTGCGACTATAGCACTTCAGTGTAGATGCTACCTGTGCTGACGGGATGGAGTCTCCCGTCGGAGTAGGTGATCCAGCTGCCTGAAAAGTGGGTAGCTAAGTCGACGGAAGAATTCTTCCATTGACCTAGTGCTGTCTACATGGGGACTTAGGTCAGCTTGACAATGCTGTTCTCACCCCTGAGCGAAGTAGTTAAACCAATCTAATCTTTTAGAGTAGACGAGCCCTAAGAGAGGGTGCCTGGCTATGGCAGTCAACAAAAAACCTCTGGCTGATTTTCTGATACAACTTTTTTGACCATGATCTTGGGTATCCATCTTTGGTGCCTTAAGGGGACCTGATTCTCAGAGGGCAGGTGCTCATCACTTTCTGCAAATTAGGCCTCAGTAAGATGTCTTAAATTGAACACCCCAACTCAGCAGTTCCTTTTTGAAGTCTTGACTCTGTTATTTTGTGGGGTTCTGGCTTTTTGGAAGAGGTGAAGGAGAACATGTTGCTGACATCTGCAGCTGCAGGCCGTTAAAGGCTAATGGCCCTGTGGCAATTTCTGGTACCTGTGACTGACTTGGGAGCTCAGTGTATGGGGGAGCTGTCAGCTCCCCTGCTCCAGAGCAGATTATGTTGGACCAAAACACCTAGCCTTTATGACACCAGCTGGCTCATTGTGCCCAGTTAAGACAACCTCCACTTTGAGTCCCAGCCGGTGGTACCTGTGCATCAGTGCTGTGGCCCCGTCCTGTAATTCCATCACCATGGGGATGGAGCCTTGCACTGAGAGCTGGCGTCTCTTAGAGGGAACCAAGCTGTCTGTGTTGTTCCAGGGGCACGTTACTCTGAGCCAGATCTTCTGACTGAATCTCTCTTTTGCTGGGCAGGAAGAAGCTGACGCTGCTGAGGGAGATGCTGGCCGGCTGCGGGGCAGGCACCTGCCAGGTGATTGTCACCACTCCCATGGAGATGCTCAAAATCCAGCTGCAGGATGCAGGCCGAATTGGTACCTTGCACATCTCTTCTTTCCTTGTACAACAGGCGGGCAGTGGAGGATACCTCTTGAGGGGATTCAGCAGGGGTGGGGAGAGAGACTGTGAGAGAAGGGGAGGGAATGAGCGTAGAGGTCACTGCTCCCTTCTGCAGAGGGGTCTTAAGCTGTAACAGAGCTTTCCTCATGCTCTTCCCTGCAGGCCTCTTAGAGCCCCCTCTAGTGGCACGAGGAAGCAATTTTCACTACCTGTGCTTAAGTCATGGGAGGGGTTAGGCGGGCTGCTGTGCGTGCTGTAGAGATGATCACATTCAGCTTATGAATTATTAAAACTCCTCCGTTAATGCCACAGGAGAAGGGTTTAACGTCCCCTTGTGCTTGTCCTCTGATACTTTCCCCTCTGCGTCTCACCCCATTATCCCCTCCTCCCCTAGCCCGTCGCAAGTGGCTTGATGCCTGCAGCAGCCCCGTCCTGCAGCTCATCTGTTTTTCTTGTGAGGGAATGAGAACAAGCTTCAATCAGCTTCTTCTGAATAGAGAAGGAAGCTCCCCATGTGGGGCACTGCTGCTCTCAGGGGGAGGGAGGGACTGTTTCAGTCCTGCTCTTTCTGTGGGACTCTTTGTACCATTGTCCCGTATCCTCCTTGCCTCTCTGGGTACTGGTTTCCTCTCTGATCGCAGAGTGGAGTCTCTGACTCACGAGGTTGAGAGGAAACTGAAGACTCTCCCTTGTGAGAGTGAAAGGAGAGCTCTGGTTCAGGGTTGGAGCATGCGTAATCCACTCACAGAAAGGGACAAACAAAGGCACGTGTGGCCAGGGAATGGAATTTGATCTCCGCTTGCTCTCTAGTAGAGAAGCATTGTACCATTTGCCACCATTGGTGTTCTTTGCTCAGGAGAGGCCTAGGGCTAGAATAGCAAAGGGTGCTGCAGAAAAAGGTCGAGGTTCATAGGCAGAACTGTGTAGGAACCCAGGACTGGGGTAGCAGGTGGTGTTGCAGGTCAGGACTGGGGTGAATTGGCAGAGCTGCAGGAAGGGAAAGGGGATCATGAGCACAAAACAGTGTGGTGTGTCAGTTCCGAGATTCATGGGCAGCGCTGGGGACGGGGAAGGGAGTTAAGACTACGGAGAAGTCCTGTTGGAGCCCACGTGAGACGCGTGGACAGAGCTGTCAGTTATGCACCAGCTGTCCACCATGTGCTGGCACTAGTGTCTTCATAGAAATAATTTAAATAGAATTATAAGATAATTACTTAAAACAACAGAAAGGAGAGAAGTGTTGCTAAAACCTAAATCTCTTCTGGAGTCCTGCCACGGATGGTGCTTAGGTCCTAAAATCGCCTAAATAATGCCCATCAGGTAATGGTGCTACTCAGCTAACCCACAGTGGCCCCCACGCATTTGCCCATCAGGAAGTATTTCTGGCTCCAGGCTGCAGCCAGCTTAGATCAGGATTCTTCCAGCTTGGCATCCATGTTCTCTGTAGGGTTCCATTCTGCAAAGTGGCTAAATTGTCATACCCAGCGTCCCTCGGAGACTGTATGCCCAGTGTGATGTGTACATAACAACTGCACATCCAGGGACTTTCCTCTGTGGAGGTACCATTATGATTACACATAGTAACGTCACATCCTAATTTTGGAACCTCATAACCCAAACACCCCATGAGCCCAGAGAGTTTCTCTTTTCCTTTTTTCTCCCCAAGAACCTTCCCTTGCCAATTTTAATGCAAACCTTGTTCGGTATGTGTGTGGGCTCAGGGATTGATATGTGCTCCATCTACTGACCAAACGGCAGAAGTGCACTTGGGTTTGAAAGGTAATGGGAGATAGCATAGTGCACAGATCTTTATTTCGGGGTTCTCTTCAGTTTTATTTTAAAGTGGTTGTTTAAGGGAAGATATTAGGAATGAGCCTTTCTTATTTTTTGGGTGCTTTGGTGGCCTTTCCCCTCTGAAGACCTGTATCCCAATAGGGCTTAAAGTCCCTGTTGCATTGATCTCTTGTACTCAGCCTAGTCTATAATGGTCAGTTCTCCACACCACACAAGCCTTGCATGACTGACCATGTCTGCTCAGGAGAGACCCAGGAGTGGAACTGCAGGGGCAATGTTACAGATCAGGACTGAGGTGTGGTGGCAGAGCTGGGCTTGAGCCCAGGACTGAGGAAGGGGTGCTGCAGTTCTGGAGGGGAGGGAGCTTGCAGGATGCATGGCTGGCTTTAGCCAGTGCTGTTAGTCCTTCCCTCTCACCAGTATCCAGTTTACACCACAGACCTCTTCCTTTCTGAAACGTCCAAGTTCCTGTGTAGCCTTGTCACTGGAGCCATGTGATAATTGAAAGTTGTGTTTTTTAATATGGAGATATACCTATCTCATTGAGCTGGAAGGGACCTTGAAAGGTCATCGAGTCCAGTCCCCTGCCTTCACAGCAGTACCGTCCCTTATTTTTGCCCCAGATCCCTAAATGGCCCCCTCAAGGATTGAACTCACAACCCTGGGTTTAGCAGGCCAATGTTCAAACCACTGAGCTATCCCTCCCCCTTCATAGCACAGGTTTATAAATAACACTCTGTCACTCCCATGCAGCGGCCCAGAAGAAGCTAATGGCAGCACAAGCCCAGCTCTCCACCACCACCAGCGCTGGGGCAGCAGAGTCGGTAGTGGAGACACGGACCACGGCGACGCAAATCACCAGGGAACTACTTCGGAGCAAAGGCATCATGGGGCTTTACAAGGGCCTTGGGGCCACGCTGCTAAGGTAGGGCTGTGCTCGCTGAAACTCTGAGCACCTTCATCTATAAAAGACTGAAGTAATCCTCCCAAACCCTGCTCCTTGCAATGGTGCTACTACTGCATTTGGGGCTATTTACTGGACAATTCTATTATCATCTGGGTCACTAACAAAAAACATGTGTATCAAGCACCCAATTCTCCTCTCCCATAGATCAGTGTGATACTGGAGTTCCCCTGGGGAAGAAATGGAGTACATGAGTGGAGAATAAGGCCCCTAGTGCTTTTGTGTTGGGGAGAGAGAGAGAATGAGAATTCTTGGTAGTCTGCCTTCCTTCTAGTCTACATAGGTTCTTATACCACACTGATCACTGTAGTCGTGCATGAAGAGATGTGACTGATATCTGTCACATGTTGGTTGTTCTCTCATCCTCTGCCCTTGGGAAAATGTGTGCAGTGGAGTGTCTCATTTCGGTAGGGTGACTTTTTGTTTTGCTTTGTTAATACACATGTTGCTCTGTAGTCATGTTAGAGAAGGCAGGTCATAAGAAATGCACCTTGCCCTTGGAGTGGAAGGTTGTGAGCCTTGTGATGGTCCTTCGTGCCTAGCGGAGTTTGTGCCACAGTCTCGGATCAGCCCCTGGGAAAGTTCCGTCTCCCATGCAGACGAGCTTTACCCTTATTATAGAGAGTTCCACTGTGCCAAGTCTTCCCTCTGGAGCCTTAGGTGATCTTTGGCTATCCTGGGTCTAGTCCATGGAGTGCCTTGAAGATAAGGATCAAGACCTTGAGCTTGATTTGATCCATAGGAAGCCAGTGAAGAGAGTGGCTTTGACATAAGCTCTTATCTTCTCAAGTGACTGACTCACTAATTAATTATTGGTAGTAACACCCAATGGGACTGACCGGGCAGGAGGAGGGACTTTAACTCTTTTAAAAAAATTAGAACTCGACATCCTGGGCCAGATCCTCAGCTGGAGTAAATAGGTGAAGCTCCCTTGGCTCCGGCAGAGCTGTGCCGAATTATATCTGCTGAGGATCTGCCTCCTGACTCTTGTCTGTGGGATATAGAAGCTGCAGAGGGAATGTCTTTCTCAAACCTCCTTGCATGTCATTCCAGTAGCTGGGAAAGAGGCCTGGCCTGGCACCGTTCTTGACCTGTGAATCTCCCAGCCCTTCCTGCTGTGACTGGCTGCTTGGTCTGGGGGGTGCAGCTGTGCTGATCTCTCTTCTCCCTACCCCCCCATTACAGAGACGTCCCGTTTTCCATTGTTTACTTCCCGTTGTTTGCGAACCTGAACAAGCTGGGCCAGAAGAGCCCTGATGTCAAGGCCCCATTCTACGTGTCCTTCCTATCCGGGTGCCTGGCGGGCAGCACGGCAGCAGTGGCTGTCAATCCGTGTGATGGTGAGTCCTGAGTGGGAGCAGGCGCTGTCAGCCTGAGGGTGGCAACAAGGAGTTTCACGGACACCCAATCGTGGAGCTCCCGGCCCCTCGTGGACAGTGGTTGCAATGGATCGAGTGAGGAGGAGGAGGAACTTACCACTTATGGTGGCTGTGTTGCAATGACATTGGTGTCAAACGTTGAAGTGGCCCTGTGCCCCCTTGTACGATGAGATGTGGCATGGGGAACAGGGCAAAGGACTCAAAGAGTTCATGTCTCCAAGCGGCCCTGGAATCAGACAAGCACTGGTGGGAGTGGGGGAAGGAGATGGCTTGTGTGTTAGGGGGACATCCCTTATGCCCCAACCTCACCCATGCACCCCTCTGTGTAGTACCAGGAGAAGAGAGAGCACTGACAGGGCCATTCTGTCTAGGAGAGGGGAAGTGGCAGGGTCTCCCTTTGCTCCCCACAGAGAGGTGGGAGAACTGGAGGCTCCATGTCCCTCTGGTGATCTGAAGGAACTATCAAGGAGAGAGAGAGTCCTGTAGAAGAAAGGCTCACAGCCCCATGAACTCCCCAGCCAGATTTGGAAGAATCCTTACGTCACCAGCCTGGAAAGAGGCATAAGAGTACTCCTGGGGGAATTCTGTGCCACTGCGTGTGTGCAGAATTCATGCCCCCCCGCAGATTTCTTTGCTTCCCCGCAGAAAAATGATTTTCGGACAGGGAAGCTGCAAGAGCAGTCACGCACCACTCCCTAGCTGCACCCGTACATTGTTTCAGGCACCTGGAGCAGCTGGCGGAGAGGTAAATCACTGCACGGCTGGGAACACCCTAACCAGTGGCTCCTACCCTGAGCCAGGATCAACTGCTAGTCCGGGCTGGGTTGGAGGCGGGAGAAGATGGGACTTCCTCTTCCCCTGCAAGGAGTGGCTGGGGCTGTGTCAGACCCACCCCCAGAAACTTTCCCCAGCTGCAGGAAGCTCTGCATCCTCCCCTGCTTCCTGTCCCCATCGCTGCTCAGCTGCAGGGGGAGAGGTCACTGTACGGGGAGCTGCTCTACCATCTGCCCAATCCCCATGCATCGGGACCTCCCATACCCAGACACCCCTGCCAAGCCTCACCCTGTGCACCCAGAACCCCCCCTCGCCCTCCATACCCGAACACCACCCCACTGAACCTCAACCCCTGCATCTGGAGCCCCCCTGCACCAAGACCCCCTGCACCCAGACCACCCCCCACTGAGCTCCCTGCACTCAAACCCCCACCCTAATGAGCCCCACCCCCTGCACCACCCTGAGTCCCCACGACCAAGCCCACTCCCCCAGCACCCAAACCTCTCTGCTGAGCCCCAACCGCTTTCACCTGGAAGCCCCTGCATAGTCCCATTGCCCCTTGAACCCCCGCAACGAGCCTCCGTGCATCCAGATCTCCCACACACACCTAGACCCGCCCCCACTGAGCTGCCTGCACCCAGATTGTCCCACACAGAATCCTCTCACCCCCTACCTGCATCCCCCCCACACTGAGCCCCTCCACATTTGGATCCTTCCTGGTTGAGCCTGCCTACCCCACACTTGGTGCAGAGGGGCAGGGCCCTAGGGTGTTTCTGGGGCAGGCCCAGGCCTTCTGCTTTGTCAGGGTTGGGTGCAGCCTCACCACTGAGTCCATGTCCCAGGGGTGGAGGGTTGGGAGGCTGCAGGGTGATCTCTCACTTTCGTGTATCCAGTGACCTGTGCTCCCCACTGCCATGCCGGAGCCTCTGCATTTATGTATTGACAAAGTTTGCAGAATTTTAAAATACTGTGTGCAGAATTTTAAATTTTTTGGCACAGGATGCCCTCAAGTGTATAAGAGGGAGATCTCTGAGGTCAGAGCTCCCCCCTAGCTCAGGAGAGAGAGCTTGCCCACTGCTTCCAGCTGAGGAGGAGCTGAGCTTTCCCTTTACTTCAACCCCTGCTCATGGGAGTCCCCACTGTCAGTGGTGTGTGTTAGTTAAACCAGATGGAGGGGGCACTCTCGGTGCGGAGGACCAGAAGTGGCCATTATCACGTCTTTGTGATGGACATGTTTCTGTGTAGAAACCATTGTGTGTGTGTGTGCGTGTGTGCTCAGCACGTGCCTTATGTGTATTCAGGCTTTTGTACATCCAGTGTGAGCTCCTGGGAAGCCATTACCTTATTGTCTTAGACTGTGTATGCCTTCCAATAAAACCGTTTGGTCTCGCCTCTGTCTGCAGGGCTAACCTGTGAGAAACAATAGGAAGTTGTTTTCCCTCCCGTAATCGTATATTACCAAGATTTTTAAGAGTGACTAGTGATTTTTTGGTGTCTCCGTTTTTTTGGGGGCCCAACTGCAGGCAGGGCTGACTTTCAGAAAGTGCTGGGCCTTGGAAAATCAGGCTCCTTAAGAGCTCTGGACACCCCTAAATCAGAGTCAGTTTGGAAAATCTTGTTCTCTTTGTGTTTTGTGTGGGGATTTTTAAATCCATTTGTAAAGGAACAGTTAAGGTTTTCCCTTGTTTTCTGATACTCTGATTAATCTCATCTGTGATCATAATCCCAGTAATCTCATCTTGGCTTTGCTAGGCCCTAAATGATCACTCTTGCCTACTAAAGAGCTATGCAGCAGTGTGTAAAGCACCTGGCAGAAGTTTCGGGGGGAAAGAACCAGAGGCAGCCCATGGCCAATATGAATAGCGTTCTTAAAGCTTCTTTTCTCCTTCTCTCTGTCCTCAGTAATCAAGACAAGGCTGCAGTCCTTGAAAAGGGGAGTGAATGAGGACACATACTCAGGAATCCTAGACTGCACCAGGTAAAAGGTGCCCTCAGTGGTTACCAGACGATCAGGTTGCAATGCCTCTGTTCTAGGCATCTTCCATTGCCTGCTTCTTGGCAATGGGAGGGAGTTGCAGCACCAAGGGCTTCTTTTTAAATTGTTTTATCTGAATGGCTAAAAGGGTTTTATCCTGTCCTTGGGGAAGGTTAATAGGGCAGGTGTCCCCTTCTACCAGAAAACCCCAACTACCCCTTTCCCCAAAAAGCAATAACCTTGAAAACAAATACCCAGCCCCAAGCCGAAAAGAGAGCAGAACCAGAGACTCTGTGGAGTTGACTAGGGGTATTGCTGTTGGTTTTAACATGACAAAGTGCCCAAATCCTAGGGTGGGCAGCACTATAAAACCCTAAGATAGATAAGGCTGAGATCTGCAGCAGCTCCCACTTCCTCTGTGATCCTGCCTTATAGGACCTCCTGCACATTGCAGGCTACAGAACCTTACCCACCCACTCCTGTAATAGACTTAAAACCTCTGGCTGAGTTACTGCAGCCATCAAATCCTGGTTTAAAGACTTCAAGTTACAGAGAATTCACCACTTACACTAGTTTAAACCTGCAAGTGACCCATGCTGCAGAGGAAGGCAAAAAAACCCCCAAGGTCTGTGCCAATCTGACCCGGGGGAAATTCCTTCCCAACCCCACATATGGCGATCAGTTAGACTCTGAGCATCCTGATTCTGGTGACAGACAATAAATTACTTTGGGAAATATTTGCGTTAGCACAAGTGACACTATGATGGGCAGTGGGTGGGGTCAACGTATGCGGAATCTCACCGGTGTCTCTGTGCCTCTGTAGGAAAATCTGGCAGAAGGAAGGGCCCCTGGCCTTCCTGAAGGGGGCGTACTGCAGAGCCTTGGTCATCGCCCCGCTCTTCGGCATCGCGCAAGTCGTCTATTTCATAGGCATCGCGGAGTTCTTCCTCGACATGCTTCCGAAGCGCCGGGATTAACCTTTGCACGCACTCGCTGCTGGTCAGAATTCATCCAGCATTGGTTGTCGTCGTCAATGGTGTCAGAGCAACAGCACAAAGGGTTAAAGCAGCAACCTTGAGGGTGAAGGTCGTCTCCAAACAATAAGTCCCTTCCACCTCTTGATACGTCCCCATCTTATCCGGCCCTCCAGGACAATACTTAATTATGCATATCTATTATTTTTAATTGTCATTCTTAAAGACACTGGTTAGCACAGACTGGGCTCACAGACCTCGGACCTTCTCCCAGCAATGGGAGGGGAAGAAACCGCCCACAGCCTCTGAATTACCAGGCAGTCAAGAAAGGCGCAAAAGAACCAAACTCTGTTTCCCCAGTCCCTCTTCTGGTGTGCCAAGCTTCTGGGAAGACAAGGCCCCAGCACAACTTCTAAAGGGGGACCATATTGTCAATAGAGGAGGCAGGTAGATGCCAGAATCAAAAAATTTCTTTGTAAGGACTTGTCCTGAAACCCCCCTAAAATCAGCTGGACTTGGATGAACTTCTTGGAGATCAGAGGAGGAGAAAGGGTTTATTTTTTTTTAATCAAAGGGACTTCCTTGCTAAATAGGGGCTGTGGGGCCTGTGTGGGGGGAGATGTACACTGCACGTCCTTGCAACGTGTCTGCTCTGTAAGAGTATGTCCGTGGGATCACGTGTGAATGTCTTCAGGTGCATCTGTGTTTAGCTATGAGCTACAGGCGGGAGAGGGGAGAATTTAACGACATGGGATCAACTTTTTATTTATGCAGGAAAAACAAATCCAATTACATTCCTTAAATCAGCCCAGCTCTGACGTGTCAAACAGTTGCTCTACCCAGAGTACTGGTTGTGTGTGTCTTTGGACCCGTCTCTAAGATGTGTTTCTCTCCTTTCCTGTGGGTGTTTGCACTCGCAAAGGGTCACTTAAAAAGAGGTCTCAGAGTCAGGCTTTTTGGTTAAAGATCAGGATAGGCCACATCCTCAGCTGGTGTAAATGGTTGTAGATCCTTTGAAGTCCGTGAGCTCTATTGAAATCAGTGGGACTATGATAGTTTGCACCAACTGAGTATCTGGCTCATTTTACTTGGGGATTGGGTTGCCAGCTTCTTTATCCAGACCAAAACTGGGATGTGGAAAAGAAATGAGGCCAGGGCATCTGTTTTATTTCCACAGGGACCTAATTCCATACGACTTACCTCTCAAAGGCCAGGTGTGGTTTTGTTATGATGTTTTCTCTGAAGTACATACAGAGAGGCAGTATGACTCCAATCGGATCCGCGCCAGCAGAAAAGCCTGCCTATGGGCGTCCAGTTGTGGGATTGAGGACGATAGCCAGTCTTCCTGCTCACTTTGGGGAGGTAGTCATTGACTGGATAACAGGATGGCAACCCTAGACACGTACGAATTCAGTTAAAGGGACACTAATGTTTTTAAAAAACCCAAACCTTTTCTTTATCTGTCTTCACAATCTCACTTTGAATTGTCACAAGAGAAAGAACTGAAAATCTGGTGTGCTTTATTATTGCACGTCATTCCATTTCAACATGTACACTAAACTGGTTTCACTTTTAGTTTATAGTCAGCTTCACTTTCTGCTTCCCCATCACTAACATCATGGTGATGTTTGTTTCCGACACAACAGTTGAAGAATAACTTTAAAAAAACAGTTTCCACTTGAAATCTGTGTATTTCAACCCTTTTTATTTAGGTTTTTAAAAACTTTTTCTTTGTAAAACCTAAATTGGAGGCCAGTTGTCCTGATCATGCACCTTTAATGTAGAGGAGGTTGTTACACAGCTAAGTTCTCACTTTTGCTTATGTGAAACATAAAAAATGATTTTATCCTACACAGATGGGACTCTGCATAGATGATCTCTCGATCATAGAATCATAGAATATCAGGGTTGGAAGGGACCTCAGGAGGTCATCTAGTCCAACCCCCTGCTCAAAGCAGGACCAATCCCCAATTAAATCATCCCAGCCAGGGCTTTGTCAAGCCTGACCTTAAAAACTTCTAAGGAAGGAGATTCTACCACCTCCCTAGGTAACACATTCCAGTGTTTCACCACCCTCTTAGTGAAAAAGTTTTTCCTAATATCCAACCTAAACCTCCCCCACTGCAACTTGAGACCATTACTTCTTGTCCTGTCCTCTTCTACCACTGAGAATAGTCTAGAACCATCCTCTCTGGAACCACCTCTCAGGTAGTTGAAAGCAGCTATCAAATCCCCCCTCATTCTTCTCTTCTGCAGACTAAACAATCCCAGTTCCCTCAGCCTCTCCTCATAAGTCATGTGTTCCAGACCCCTAATCATTTTTGTTGCCCTTCGCTGGACTCTCTCCAATTTATCCACATCCTTCTTGTAGTGCGGGGCCCAAAACTGGACACAGTACTCCAGATGAGGCCTCACCAATGTCGAATAGAGGGGAACGATCACGTCCCTCGATCTGCTCGCTATGCCCCTACTTATACATCCCAAAATGCCATTGGCCTTGGCAACAAGGGCACACTGCTGACTCATATCCAGCTTCTTGTCCACTGTCACCCCTAGGTCCTTTTCCGCAGAACTGCTGCCTAGCCATTCGGTCCCTAGTCTGTAGCTGTGCATTGGGTTCTTCCATCCTAAGTGCAGGACCCTGCACTTATCCTTGTTGAACCTCATCAGATTTCTTTTGGCCCAATCCTCCAATTTGTCTAGGTCCCTCTGTATCCTATCCCTGCCCTCCAGCGTATCTACCACTCCTCCTAGTTTAGTATCATCCACAAATTTGCTGAGAGTGCAATCCACACCATCCTCCAGATCATTTATGAAGATATTGAACAAAACCGGCCCCAGGACTGACCCCTGGGGCACTCCACTTGACACCGGCTGCCAACTAGACATGGAGTCATTGATCACTACCTGTTGAGCCCGACAATCTAGCCAACTTTCTACCCACCTTATAGTGCATTCATCCAGCCCATACTTCCTTAACTTGCTGACAAGAATACTGTGGGAGACCGTGTCAAAAGCTTTGCTAAAGTCAAGAAACGATACATCCACTGCTTTCCCTTCATCCACAGAACCAGTAATCTCATCATAGAAGGCGATTAGATTAGTCAGGCATGACCTTCCCTTGGTGAATCCATGCTGACTGTTCCTGATCACTTTCCTCTCATGTAAGTGCTTCAGGATTGATTCTTTGAGGACCTGCTCCATGATTTTTCCGGGGACTGAGGTGAGGCTGACTGGCCTGTAGTTCCCAGGATCCTCCTCCTTCCCTTTTTTAAAGATTGGCACTACATTAGCCTTTTTCCAGTCATCTGGGACTTCCCCCGTTCGCCACAAGTTTTCAAAGATATGGCCAATGGCTCTGCAATCACGGCCGCCAATTCCTTTAGCACTCTCGGATGCAACTCGTCCGGCCCCATGGACTTGTGCACGTTCAGCTTTTCTAAATAGTCCCTAACCACCTCTTTCTCCACAGAGGGCTGGCCATCTACTCCCCATGCTGTGATGCCCAGCGCAGCAGTCTGGGAGCTGACCTTGTTAGTGAAGACAGAGGCAAAAAAAGCATTGAGTACATTAGCTTTTTCCACATCCTCTGTCACTAGGTTGCCTCCCTCATTCAGTAAGGGGCCCACACTTTCCCTGGCTTTCTTCTTGTTGCCAACATACCTGAAGAAACCCTTCTTGTTACTCTTGACATCTCTTGCTAGCTGCAGCTCCAGGTGCGATTTGGCCCTCCTGATTTCATTCCTACATGCCCGAGCAATATTTTTATACTCTTCCCTGGTCATATGTCCACTCCCACTTCTTGTAAGCTTCTTTTTTATGTTTAAGATCCGCTAGGATTTCGCCGTTAAGCCAAGCTGGTCGCCTGCCATATTTACTATTCTTTCGACTCATCGGGATGGTTTGTCCCTGTAACCTCAACAGGGATTCCTTGAAATACAGCCAGCTCTCCTGGACTTCTTTCCCCTTCATGTTAGTCCCCCAGGGGATCCTGGCCATCCGTTCCCTGAGGGAGTCGAAGTCTGCTTTCCTGAAGTCCAGGGTCCGTATCCTGCTGCTTACCTTTCTTCCCTGTGTCAGGATCCTGAACTCAACCAACTCATGGTCACTGCCTCCCAGATTCCCATCCACTTTTGCTTCCCCCACTAATTCTTCCCGGTTTGTGAGCAGCAGGTCAAGAAAAGCCCCCCCCCGTTGGCTCCTCTAGCACTTGCACCAGGAAATTGTCCCCTACGCTTTCCAAAAACTTCCTGGATTGTCTATGCACTGCTGTATTGCTCTCCCAGCAGATATCAGGAAAATTAAAGTCACCCATGAGAACCAGGGCATGCGATCTAGTAGCTTCTGCGAGTTGCCGGAAGAAAGCCCCATCCACCTCATCCCCCTGGTCCGGTGGTCTATAGCAGACTCCCACCACTACATCACTGTTGTTGCTCACACTTCTAAACTTAATCCAGAGACACTCATAACAATCTTTTGTGATCAGTACTATGATGCTTGTGTCACTCTGGATTTTTTCTGAGTTGCCCTTAAAGAAAAGTTTGGGGTTTTTTTTTTCCGTAGGGTGACTCTTCTCCTGCTTTATGATGTATTATGAAGGCCTGAAAGGTGTACAGCTTTTTTAAGGATTTTTTTTTTTGTTTTCTGCTTGGATTTTGCATGTATGGTTCAGATCCTCACCTAGGCTGGAAGAGTGATGGTCGGAGAGCTAATGAAATGGTGATGCCCCACGAGATTGAAAGTTGAACAGTTGATAGGGAAAGGATTTCTAGTCACTACTTCAAACGTTTTTCTTTGTGTTAACACCTATTTAATGTTAAGGACTAACTTACATTTTGGAGGAAGGAAGGTTTTGTTTAACCCCATCCGTTATGGTATGACTAGACTAAACATCCCACGAGCCTCCCAGGCGTTATCCAGCAAGACCCGGGAAACCCAAGAGCTGACATGCCTGATATTTAAAAGGGAAAGAGCAAGTGACCACCTCCTCCTCTTTAGAAACAGGCCTTCTCTATACCTCATAAAGAATCCAGAAGGAACACTAGCCTGATTTTTGAACAGTCCTTTGCAGCTTACTTTGGTCTTTGCATTTCTTGGCAAAATTTTAATGTTCAAATGGTAAACGCCCCTCCCCCCTCCCAGCCAATATATTATTGTGTATGAGACTTACAATTTGGGGGTAAAAATACATTGCCAGTAAGTGTGTCAGAATGAAATGAAGAGTTCAGTGGCAAATACAGGTTTGAAGCAGCCTCTCCCCCTATAATATGCTGCTCTTACTATGGATATCTGTGCTCCCAGCTGTCCGCTTTGGTCCTATTTGGTTTCACACTGTGATGTGGACCAGCAATGTTGTTGCCATGGTTATTGGGCACAGAAAAGGGCCTGGAAAATGCTGCTTTATGGCCTCAGACAAAGATCCATAGAAAATATCCCTCCCTTTCTCCCATCTCCCCCCAGCTTTTATTTTTAAATTTCAGCAGAAAGATTGCACACAGTGAGCCCTATGTGGTGTGTTAGCGCGGGGCCTTTGTGAGCTGAAGTTCTTGGTGCTGACGAACTCGCGCTGCTCCAGCCCAGTGAAGAGTCCTCTTTAGTGCCAAGAGACTTAAGGACTGACCTGTAAAATTCTGAAGTCAGGAGCAATTGCATCTGCCTGAGATCTGGAATTTCAAAGGGGGGGGCCCTGGCGTTGCTGCAGTAACCGACTCGAGCTGGTGGCCCTGCAACCCATCAAGTCAGAAACTCTTACATTAGCATTTAATAACCCCTCTCCCCCTCCCTCCCTCCAGGGCTAAGCCCTGTCCCTTCCTGGCAGGGCTGCCTGGCGCCACCCATGAAAGCTAGCAGGTGCCTCCTTTTGTTCTGATCATTCCAGCCATGGAGGGGAGCCATCAGCATTCGTATCGGCAGCTGTAGCCCACTGATTAAAGTGGAATCAGCTGCACTGGTGTAGATTGTGTGTATGCTAGGGTTTGGCACCAGAGGTTAATATCCCCGTGTGGACAAGACCTTAGTGCAGCTCTAAAGACCAAACTGTAGATGTTTCCATTTAACAGAAGTGTGACTCCCTGTTAGTTCTGTACACCCTGTCCCACCCTCTTCATGCTGGGCATTACCAACAGGGCCAGCACTTCCCTGCAGGTGGTGTTGCTAGGGCCATTGGGGAACTGCAGTACTCAATGACTAGCTAACACCCTGTGGTCACCTTGCCAAGTCCAAGTGCAGAACCCACCCCAGTTAAGGGCCTGAGCCTGGATTATTAGCAGGCATGAGTGCAGCTCACATCTCTGCAGAGCTTTTCCTAAAGGAGGAGAGCAGGATCAGGGTAAAGAGAGTTTGAGGTGAGTCCTGTGTCTTGATTCCAGTGGCAGATTGAGTACCACCCTGTGACCCAGCGGTGGGGCAGCGAGCTTGCAGGCCCACATCTCATGGGGTTTTCAGAACATGCCCAAACCCTCTGGAAGCTGGGAACATTGGGTTGATACCCAAATCCCCTTTTCACAGCTTCATGAACCCAGCAAAGCATGTGTCTGGCACCATCATTGTACCAGTGTGTGAGCGCTCCAGCTTTCAGCAGTGTGTTCTGCCTGTTGGGGATGGAGTGGCTTGGGGCAGGGCCTGAGACTGGTACAGGGGAGGGAAGACTCTTTAAACTGTATTTAATGCTGTATGTTAAAAGTATGTCACTTTCCTGTTTCCCTGGAGATTATCTCCGGTCACTCCAGCAGTGGAGGCCTGGAATGCAGAAATGCTGATGTGTTTTTTTTCTGCATGGGAAAGAGATCTATTTCCCACAATCCCTTGATTTTATTTCCTGATGATTCTGCCAGCGACTGCTGTTCTGTTTGGGAACTTGATTTGAGATTGCAACACTGGCTGGCTCAGGGGCTCAAACAGAAGCACACTACTGTGTTGAAGCTGAATGCTCCGAAAAGGATTACCAGTTGCAAGAGGGAGGTCAGTGTCTGTGATAATTAGACCTACAAATGGATTCCCTGGAACAACCTCTTGAAGATTCCAAGGGTGTTTTAAACCTCGGATACTGGTGTTTCTGTAGAATATGCCTGTGTGTGTGCATAGAATGCCCAGCCTGTTGCTTTTGTAGGATATGCCTGCTGTTGTCCCTTTCTGATATGATCTGCACCTGCAGGTTTGTTGGGGTGCACCATGAGTCCTCTTTAGTTTTGTTTCTTTCCATCTCAGAAACAGGAAGGCTAAAATTTTCAGAAGTGGCCTCTGATTTTGGCTGTGCCCAATCTCAGGTGCTTTGGGCCTGAGGCTTTTGGAAGAGCTGAGCACCCCAAATTCTAATTGAAGTGAGTAGTGTTTGGTGCCTCTGAAAATCTGGCTAATGACATCTCAAAGTAGGCACCTAAAATCAGGCTACTTTTGGAAATGTTGGTCCTAAGTTTATAACTCATAGACCTGGCTGGGATCCTGACAGCCAAGACTTTGGCTTGGGACCCCATCAACAAAAGCCAGTGTTTAGACCTAGAAATTTTGAGTATTTCCCTTGCAGAGGTCTGAGTAGCTAAGAGATGGTGGAAAAAACACAGACACAGAAATAATTTAGTCTCTCAAAATGCAGACTTACCCGGACAGAGCTGTGAGGAGCATCCTGCAGGCTAAGCTGACTGGTAATTGCGATGCTCCTAGGAGATCTGACACTGTCCTCGCCATTTGGTGTTCCTGTAGTCAGCAGGAAAAGAGTCTCCATGGTAGGGGAAGATGAAAAGCATGATGTGTGGACCAGTTCTAGTGATCAGCAAGAACTTAAGTTTTGAGGTGGTGCTTTGACATGGATTTCTGCTCCCTTTAACTGCTTTGTTGTGGCCCATGATCGAGGGTGCCTGTGGCTTTTCCAAATAGCTTTTGGGAGCGCTAGTTGCTGATTACCTAGCTGTGTATGCATGCGGAATCTCTCGCCACACAATACTCTGCTTCGGGTGCTTTGTTGGAACGGGGACCCATGGATGTCCCAGTGTCTGCCCGAAGCCTCGCAGTAGAGGCCACGGGGTTTGGCCCATCAGGACACAATTACAAAATCCAAAGGCAAACGTGAGGCCATTGGCTCCAAAAACCTCTATGAGCCAAGATCTGTAGTCGGAGTCTACTGCTCCTTCATTCCACCACAGTGACCTTTTGTGGAGCATGCAGCACTAGGAGTCTGTCAGGCTGCCTTTGCCATCCAGCTGTGCCTGTGGCTCACCCCACAAGGCCTGTCTACACTGGAGAAATTGTCTAACCAGTTCGGCTAGACTTTTTTTTTTTTTCTGAAATAGCTGAGAACTATTGCATAGCTCTAGATTGAAGCAGTTAAGGCAGCCTGACCCAGTTGGAAGGCCAAGTGGTCAAGGCTGTTGCTCTGATTGGGTTTTAAAACAGATTTAGCTGTGCCAACTTGAAACCACTTACCAAATCTGCCCAATGTAGACAGGCCCTTAATGCCAGGCTTTGTAAGATCCTTGCAGTTCAATGAATCATTGAAGGCCAGAATCCCACGTCAAGTGGAAAAACAAAGCAGAGGTCACAGCATTACAGTGGCTGAATGCTTCAGTTTCCATCAACTGTGGCCACTGCAACAGTCATTGTAGCTTCCTTGTATACAGTTCATCTGCATGATGTGCCCTGAGCAAAGGCATCTTGACCACAGATTACAGCCTCCTTTGTCAATTGACTTTTTAGACTAGACGATAGAATCAGGTGAGGTTGTTTGTAACTGACCCTAAGGGAAGGGAGTGAGTGTGGTGTAGTGGTTAGATCACACGAATGGGAGATGGGAATTCTGGAATCCACCTGGCTCTGCTGCTAACTCAGTGCCTCAGTGAGATGGGGAAAATCCTACTTGTCTACCTCGCAGAAATGGCAAGGCTTAATCCATTTGCATTTGTCTCTTGAGATCATCAGCTGGAAGGTACTACAGAATGCAGCTTATGGGTATTATAAGAAGGGTTGACTGTTCTTCAGATATGGAATGGACAGCACCTTCGGGCCCAATTAAATAATATGGATTAATGTGTCTTGGGGAAACCTGGCCAGATGCAATGTGATAGCCAGAATGGAGCCATGCTAATTTACATCAGCTGAGGATCTGGCCTTTACTTTGCAATTAACATGCACAAGGCAGAAATAATATTTTAAAAAGAAATCTGCAATATGTAACCACTGCTCCTTCTGGATGTATGGGTTGCTTGCAATAGGTTCTCTAAGTCACCGTAATGAGACCAGCTGGGATGTTCCACTCTTGCCTGATGTTCACTTGTCCTTAGTCTCGTCCATTCCTAACCAATCAGATGTACAGCGTGTGAAATCTCTTGCATTCCTGCAACATTCAGGGAGAGCAGAGCAAACTGTTGCCCACCCTGCAAATAGTGCTGATGCTTTTGGGAACCTAAGGCTGTCTATGGGCTTCTGTAGGATGTGCGTGCTGTTGTCCCCAATGGACTTTGTGAGGCGTGTGACACGTTAAACTTGTGTTTTGTTGTTGTGCACTCACCAAACAGGGAGCCGTTGGCTTGATTGGTTTTTACAGCAGCCCCATGAGTGCTGGTTAATAACAAACTGAGACCATCGTACATGGCATGTGAGCAGGAACTGGAAGAGGCACAGAGAAAATTGGAGAGGGGGGCAGTCATGGGGCTTGAGTCTGGTGGTGGTAGAAAAGGGTTTTTTTGGAGAGTAGGGGATGGGGAGTGGCTACAGAAAGGTTCTGATGATCAGTGGCACTTGGTACCTGCCATTCCCATTAACTCCGCCCAAGGTTGAAGGTTCAGCACTAGAGCTGGTTAGAATGGGCTTTTTGCCCATGGAAAATTTAGACCTTTTTAGGGGAAAAACCAAAATATTTTGGTTTGTAAATGTTGCCATGATGCCTCATGTGAGTCCTAGTTTGAGTGCCTGGTGCTCCCATTGTCCTGTAGAGACTAGGCGTCTTGGTCACACTGCATCTCCCAAGATGCACAGCAGTCTCTCCTCAAGGTGAGGAGATTTGAGTGCATCATAGGAGCCCTGGACCAGGGTACATCATGGGAGATGTAGTATGGCTGAAGAGCCAGACTCACCGGGGAGAAGGGGGACATGAGGAAATCAAACTACAGCTCCATGGGGCACCATGGCAGCATACCCGAACTGAAATGTTTTCTTCTTTGGATGAAATAGTTAGATTGGAGGGCATTTATTTTATTTTTTACAAAATGATTAAATTTTCCATGGACACTTAGTGAAAAACTTTGTTTTTGTGGTTTGGGTGGGTTGTGTTGTGTGTGTTTTTTCCATCAAAAACAAAAACAACTTTTGACCAGCCCTATTCAGCCTCTCTGAAAATGAGGCCCATAGAAGTTGAGGGAGTCCATGAAAGCTTCTGATGGAAAGAGGGGAGTAGTGAATACAAGGGCACTGGGAGAGAGAAGTAAAGTGGGGGGATTGTGTGGAAGGGACCTGATGGGGGTTGGCAGAGAGAATGAGGAGGAAGTATGTAACGTAGCACAGGGGAGCGGAAACAAGAGGGGATCTGCAGAAGAGACTCAGCACAGGGAGGAGGAGGACTGGCTATACTTCAGGTACCAGACATGGGAGCGGAGGTGTATAGAAAGGACTAAAAAGACCTGACTGTGAAGAAGCCTTTGCTATAGCACCCCAGGGTTTGATCCTGCCAACACTGGGGAGAGGCAAAGCTTGTGTTGACTGGTCCAGGCTTGAGGGTCAGATGCCCTGTGTTCTTTCCTGCTCCTGGATGTTTTGCCTTTGGTTTCTGTAGGTGCAGGAGCAGGCCCTTTATCTTCCATCAGACAGTACAGTACCCAGTTACCATACTGACACGAGCTCTGCAGACAAACAGGAACGGAGTGGAGGCCCAATGCTGTTTCAGTGAGCACAACTTCCACATGCGGGGGACACCTCTAGGAAGCTCTGCTTTGGTGCTGATTGATCCTAGGGACCGGAGCATGACAGGAAGCAACAAGGGCAGGTACAAAGGCTTTCACCAAATGGACCCCTCAAAGGATAATCTGTCTTCCCCTTGCACGTGTGTGGGGGAAGCAGGCTGGCACAAGAGAAGGGAATGTTTTCCTGTACAACTTTAGCATGGGGTGAACTATGCTATCAATGTAGGTTTGTGTGCAGCGAAAGACCTTTTTCCTCGAGTTACTCTTACGCCATAATCTACTATGAATATTTTGGGGGTCACTGATAGGTGGTATCGCCCACGAGCAAGAGGGTCTGGATTTCTATTCAGTGTATTGCTACCTTACGTGGATTGTGTAATCTGTGCTATGATTGTTACCTACGCTCATCCCTGACTGAGCCTGGAGTCCACTGTCGGAATCCACCTCATCACAGAAAGGAGCTGTGTGTGTGTGTGTTTGGATTCACTTTTCTCCCTCCTACAGCTTGATTCTCCCTGACTCATACTTTGGTGTGGAAGGGGGCCCGCCCTTCTCCCATTTTCATGGCTTTTGGGGACCATGTTGAGCCTCAGGAGAAGGTGACTAACGTGACACCTGGAATGATACCCTGGGCTCCGTGAGCTTTCCACCCTGCAGGCTTGGCCTCCACTAAGGTGACAGTAAAAAATGAGCTCCAAAGCTGCCTTTGAGGAACGCTGTGGGTAAACAAGGGACTCCATCCTCCAGAGCTGTCAAACCGGCACCTGGCCCCAGAAGAATTTACTAAGCCAGGCACAAAATGCATTCTGGTTCAGAGTAGAATTGATTTCTCTCAGGAACGGGAGCAGACTCCCGTTTCCATGGAAACAGGACTTCACTCCCTCCTACCCTACTGTATGTGCCATGCACTAAGCTCGTTGAGGCAAGCCCATTTGTTTCCTAAGAATCAGGGACTGCAACAAAATGTCCTGTACCTTGTGTGTGCAGTTGTGCCTGAGGGACGGCAGAAGTGCTGCTGCCCTTGGTATCTGGAGCAAATATTTTGAATGAGGGTGTGCGAAGCAGGCCGGGGATACTTGGAGTCCTCTCCCCCCACACCCATGTGCTCCATTCTCTGACAAGCTGTCCAAGAGTCTGTATGCTTCTGATCTGGAGCACAAGCCTCTGGAGAGACACTGCTTCCTCTGGACAGTTCAGTTTGTTTAGAGTCAGCCTGTGGCTGCTCTAGAGTTGCAATTCTGGAAGGGAAGCAGGGAGTCCTGAGACTATCATTTAAAGGCGCAACTGTATCACAGCCTTTTCTGGAGACTAATATCAGTGGGTCTTTAATTTCTTCAGAGAAGAAATTTGTTCCCACACAAATGTGGCCCTGTCACACTCTTCATTCCTGGATCCTACAAACACTGGAAAATGCCCATTGATGAAGGTACAATTAAAGAAAACCACTGTCACACAAAGCCAGTGTTTTGTGTGTCCCTGTTTGTGTGTGGTCACCTTCCCTGAAAAGTGCTAGACATCCCACCGTTGCTTCGGACAGTTTGGGAGGCAAGGGGTGGTCTGAGCATTGGCCCAAGAACCAGGAATTTAACAACTGTAATCTCAGCTCTGACACTTCCCTCCCTTGGTGATCTTGGTCAGGTCACTTAAACTTGCTGCCTCCCCTTTTCCATTGGTAAAATAGATCATTTCTCCTACCTCACAGGATGTTGAGACTGAATTAGCTTCTGTTTAGAAAGTACTGCCTACAAGTGCTAAGTGTTGCTGTTCCTAGACTAGACTGAGAAGAGGCAGGCTTGGGATTTACTATAGTGGAGGGATCTGTAAAAAGCTGGAAAAACATGATTGTTCTTGACAAAAACTAGACACTCAGCAAATCAGGAATAGGCCGGATGGTCACTTGGGTGCAGGGCACAAATTGGGAGGCCTCATTCAAAGCTTGCTGCAGTCCCTGGAGAGACTCCCACCAACGACAATGGGCTTTGGATCAAACCCATGTGGGAGAAAGGAAGGGATATTTTCCTTGCTGAAATAAAGTAATGACATGAGCAAATCCAAGGAGAGGATGTGCCAGACAAGCGTGCCTTTGGTTAGAAACTTTTCCTTTGGCCCTGCTTGTGCCTGGAAGGTTCTCCTATCCCTTGCAGTGATCCAAGCACAGGGCACACATCCACTTCATGCACATTAGATGCATCCAATGAACGGGAGGTGCAAGGGTATGTGCAAGGGCAGAATTGGCCGGCTGTGTGCGGTTACAACCTGCATGCAAGTTTTGTGCATGTGTCAGGGTTTGCACAGGTCTGCACTGTATTTACTCTGTGTGTGTGTGTGTGTGTGTGTGTGTGTGTGTTTGTTTGATGTCTTCTCTTTTTGTTCTATGATATTTCTCCCCCCACCCCCTGCCCCTTGGAAGAGAAAGCTGAACACGTGATCCTTCCAAAGCCCACTGAAGTCCATGAGAGTCCTTCCATTGTCTTGACTGGGCATTGCACAGCACCAAGGGGACTAGCAGCATAAAATCCCCCTTCTGTTTGCATCACCCGTCTTTCCTCCCCAAATGTGGCCCTCTATGTGATGTCCCAGTTCTTGCAGTGATGAAGTGAATGATCTCTGCTGTACAGTGCACTGTTGGTGTCTGTGGTTTGGTGTCTGAGGTTCTATCTACTGCTCCTGAGGCATTAAGGGAGCCAAGCTATGAAATCAGGCTTCTTTGTCGTTACCCAATTTGCTAATATTTGCTGTTCTATGCTAGGTACTTGTCAAGTCTTGGCATTCCCAATGCTGGCATGATTCCGTGCTGTTCTGAGTGTGCCCTGGGACCTTCTACTAATGAAACGCTCATCTTCTCATTTCCAGTTCTCTTTATTTTCTTGATGTAGTTCTTGAGCAGTAGCTCATCAGAACATGGAAAAGACCAATAGATCCCCGTGTAACCGATCCCATTCAGCAACACTAATCATGGTTAACAGTGTTTTGACTGACTGGACTATTTTCTGTGTAGATTTATTATTTATTTCTTGGTGTTAAAAGGGGGAGACCCACATTCCATCCTTTAAAACCCAGCTGGTTCAGTTCCATGTTCTGTGTAGTAATGTTTGACCATTACATGTGTGTTTAAACTTTTTTGCTGTTCTCTTCAATGCATTTGACTGTTGGTGATTTTTCAATAACATCGTATAACATTGTATCCCGTTGCTGTAGGGTCCTGGGCAATACCTGTACTGTTTAAAAACTGCTGCTTTAAGGGGGGGTATTTTTTTTTCCTATTTGAAGAGTTTTTAAAAATATTGTAATTTTTTTGTGTATTGTCTTGTAAAATAAATATTCTAAATATAACTATATTTCCTCTGTTGCTTCGGGGGGGGATGTGCGATCTGTCTGCTTATCTGGCCCATTTGCCGTAGAATCTGAGTGTTTCCAGTTGGTAATCGGCTTTGAGACACACCTCTGAGGTAGGAAAGTATATTCTCATTTAACAGATAGGGAAGTGAGGCATGGGGGTAGTAGAGCCAGGAGCTGATACCAAATCTTCTGAGTCCCAGCTCAGTGCCCCATTTGCTAGCCCACCTTTCATATCCCGATTGGTGCTGCCTTTTAATAAGGTGTTTGTATTTCTTTTTATGCTGGTTCTTTTGTTACATGGGTGTGTGTGTGTGTGTGTGTCCAGGAAGGCCAACTGGGGGATACAGAAGTAGGGATTTGAACAACTGTAGCTAAAAGAAATATTTGGGACATACCTGCTGTGCGAGGAGTGTGGTGTGTCTGTCTAGTTCGTTATAGAGGTTTGGCCATATCACAATCATTCCACAGGTCATAGAATAGAATCCTAGAATATCAGGGTTGGGAGGGACCTCAAGAGGTCATCTAGTCCAACCCCCTGCTCAAAGCAGGACCAATCCCCAGCTAAATCATCCCAGCCAGGCTTTTGTCAAGGCTGACCTTAAAAACCTCAAAGGAAGGAGATTCCACCACCTCCCTAGGTAACCCATACCAGTGCTTCACCACCCTCTTAGTGAAAAAGTTTTTCCTAATATTCAACCTAAACCTACCCCACTGCAACTTGAAACCATTACTGCTTGTTCTATCATCTGGTACCACTGAGAACAGTCTAGATCCATCGTCTTTGGAACCCCCTTTCAGGTAGTTGAAAGCAGCTATCAAATCCCCCCTCATTCTTCTCTTCTGCAGACTAAATAATCCCAGTTCCCTCAGCCTCTCCTTGTAAATCATGTGCTCCAGCCCTCTAATGATTTTTCTTGCCCTCTGATAGACTCTTTCCAAATTTTCCACATCCTTCTTGTAGTATGGGGCCCAAAACTGGACACACTACTCCAATGAGCCCTCACCAATGCCTCACGTCCCTCAATCTGCTGGCAATGCTCCTACTTATACAGCCCAAAATGCCGTTAGCCTTCTTGGCAACAAGGGCACGCCGTTGACTCATATCCAGCTTCTCGTCCACCTCAACCCCTAGGTCCTTTTCTGCAGAACTGCTGCCTCACCACTCGGTCCCTAGTCTGTAGCAGTGCATGGAATTCTTCCTAGGTTCCTAAGTGCAGGTAGGTATGATCTTAGTTGATGCTAGGGAGGAGACTAGGTGGAGAGGGAGTGTTGTCTAGTGGACAGGACACAAGCCTGGGTGTTAGGGGAGACTGGTTCTGTTCTTGCCTCTGCCCCTGATCTAGTGTGTGACCCTGGGCAAGGTATAGCTGTGCCTCTGTTTCCCCCTCAAACCTCTTGCCTGTCTTGTCTACAAGGATTGTAAATTCGTCAGGGCAGAGGCCGTCTCTCACTGTGCATAGCACCTTGCACAATGGGCCCTGACCTCAGCTGGGGCATCTCCGTACTACCCTAATATTACTAATAAAAGGGGATGCTGTTGATCATGGGCCAAATTCTGGTCTCTGTTACCCTGGTGTAAATTGAGAATCGTTTCATTTGAAAAAAAAAAGTGGGACTGTAACTGGGATCAGAAGCTGAACCCAAAAAATGAGGTGCATTAGCCTTGCTCAGTAGTGCACTGTTAGGGGGTGCTTTGGGTCAAGAATCGGGGGGGAGGGGCAAAAGTCAGGCTAAAGGGGAAAGGAGGCAGGACAAGGAAAACAGGAGTCTTTGCAGATCCATGATTGGAGAGGATTAAGCCTAGAGATGACCTACTGGTAGTAATAATAATACCACCACACTGGAATAGCAGGAGGTGGTGCAGTTTGTGACAAGTGCATTTCCAAACCTACGCAGGGATATTCCGCATAGCCCTGCCCTGCATGCAGCATGCCTCCAGGTGGCGCTATAGTCCCTCACCTTCAAGAGAACTAAAAATCCACTAGAAAAAATGACATCTCCCTTGTCACCCTGGCCATGAAGTTACTGCAACCCACTGTGTGTGTGTTTACGGCCTGCCCTGCCACACAAACACGTGTGATGTGGTGCCTTACAAAACTGTACCGCGTGAAACAAGATTTGTTCCGCTTCTACGGAAACATGACGGTCTCCAGAGAGATGGGACCATGTCCCAGATGGCGGCCTGTGCTTCCCCTGTGGGAGACTCCCTCGCCATCACCTTGCCTCCCGGTGGGACTGTGACATAGTACGACTGTGACACCCAAGGCAAATCAGCTTCTTAGTTTTAAGGCCCTAAGCCTTCTCCTCGTATTTACCCTAGTGGAAATCAGGAGTAGCTTCTAGAAGCCAGCGGGGCTACAGCGGCATGAGGCCAGAGTCCAATCTCTCTCCCTCCTCTTGTGATGGCCTCTGCAGCTCTCCCCTAAAGCAGCCAAGCCACCTTGTACATTTTCTGACAAAAATTCCCTCCTTCTGTCCCTTGTCTGTGTGGCTGTCATCTTCTGGCCAGCTGCAGAATAGCAGGTTTGCAATCCTAGCCCCTTGGCAGAGGGTAGGGATTTCAGGTTTCTCTAGCTGGGGAAGGGGCATAACTATAGCAGTCTAATAATACAGCTGTAGATATCTGGGTATAAATCCTTGTGTGGACACTTAGTCAGGAATTAAGTTGGTATAACTTTACCTGGTTAATTAGACGGCTTCAACAAACAGCTAAATTGCCCCGTTGGCAAGCCTTTCTATTCAGCCCATCCTTGTACCAGCTGGGCACATGTTACAGAAACGTCAAGCAAATTCCACCCCACGATTGGTAGGAGTCACTCCTCCCAATGGCTGAGGCTCCAGAAGTGACATCCGATGAAGTGGGCTGTAGCCTACGAAAGCTTATGCTCAAATAAATTTGTTCGTCTCTAAGGTTCCACAAGTACTCCTGTTCTTTTTTTTACAGACTAACACAGCTGCTACTCTGAAACCTGTCATTAATTAAAAGCTACAGTGAGCCAAGGATGGCAATGGCCAAACTCCCATTATCTTCAGTGGAGCAGGATTAAGCTCCACCTAGCCTCATGCAGCTCATAGCAATTTGCCAAGGTGCTAGAACGTTTAAAAACAGCCTTCCGCTGTCTGAATGTGCCTGGAAAATGCACTCTGCACAAGCCACGGTGGGAACACTGCAGTGCCTTGTGTTCTCTCCGACAACCCCATCTATATGGCTGTTGTCCCTTCTAACATGGTGAAGGCAGGGCTGCTTCCCCGCCCCCCAAGCAGGACATGTCAAAACTGAGTTTCCTGGTTAGAAGCAGCAGGAGTCCTATGCAGGCAGGAGGCAGGTGCTTTTACAGATTGATCAGCCATAGTGCATGCAGAGGGGAGGGAGGGGGTCACCATTCTCCAGGACCCCAACCCCCTAGTACCCCCCACCCCTTCCCCACCTTGCTTCTAACCAGTCATCTGAGATTTTGTGCCTCATTCTGCTGTGAATGTAGATTTCATAGACCATAATTAAGATACATTTTAAGCTCAGGGGGCTTTCTCCTTTGCTGACCTTGAGGGGAGTACTGGCTTCGCCTTGCCCCTTCTCGATCTGAATCAGTACTCCTGGGCTCCACCCTGCTTTGCTGTTTTGCGCTTAGCAAGCACTGTATTAGCAAGGCATGACCCACTTTTGGCTACTCTCAGAACAGCCGGAAATGGATCCAATTTATAGAGGCTCTTCCATACTTCATGGTACAAGGATGGATTTCCTAAATGCAAATGAAGCAAACACTGTTCAAACTATTCTCCCTCTAGTGTTCAGCACTCAATCTTCCTCTTAGATTTATCAATAACAATACTTATAACGGACTCCAAAACTGAGTAAGAAAACTGCAAGCCAAATAAACTTGCTCACTATATTCTATAGCTATCTCCTATGAAAGAGCGAGAGAGAATGAATACTGGGCACTAAACACCATAGATCTATGCACATGCAGGCCAACAAGGGGCCATTGATGGGCCTGCCAGATTCTCAGATATTCTAAGGCTCCTTTATGCTGAAAAGGAGCCTGAAAGGGGATAGAAATGTGCCCCTGTTGATACTTCCAGCTGATGTAGAGTTAGTATAAGGGCTTTATACTGGGACCAGAACTGGTCATGGCCAGGTTGCACTGCACTACAGCTCATCTCTGCCTCCTGCACGCTGGGGCTGCTCTAACTTACCCGGGGAGCCAGGCAGGCCCCAGAATACAGTGGGTACAAAGATGGCTTAAAGGCATCTGCATCCACCTCTCCACCCCTGTGCCTGGCCCAAGCGTAGGAATGGAGGGTGGGAATCCAGCACGATACAATGTCGATTCAGCCAACACATTCTCTTTGTTGAGGGCTGGGGTTTCACTTTCAAGCCACTGATGTTTTATATGTTTCTAGTAGGTTTCATTTATGTGGGTTTGTACGTTCAGTAAAATATACTGCAGGAGTTGATGCTTTATATTGAAGTCAATGGAGCAATGCTGCTTTAGCATTACAGAACTGAGGATCTGGTGCACCTCATTCACTCTTTGTCCATCATCTCGTGGCCCTTTTCCTTGCTGTTCCACTACTCAGCTGCCCTGTATAAGAGGAGAAAACAGTATGAACTTGAAAGTAAAGTTTTAAACGGCCTCAGTTGCCCCTGGAGCTACCTGACACCGTGCGGCAGTTAACGTAAGACTTTAAAGTGATGGTTTTGTTTTATGACTTGATTTCAGTGGTGTCTATGCTTGGGATGAGTTTTGTCCATTTTGAGGGTGAGCACTTTGGAAGGAGAAGGAAATGTTCCCTGATGCTTATCTGAGATGGCAGGCACTATTCCTGCTGGAGATCCCCTACTGGCTGAGAAAGGGTGACACCAGTGAACAAGGAAGCCAAGTAGAACCAGTAAGCAGCAGAGTTTCCATTTCCCAGCTGCTGGGAGGGACCAGTTCTGTGCATTATTCGTCTGGAATACAGCAAGGCCCACGTTTTCCAGTTGGGCTGCCTGTGGTTAATTGCCTAAATCTGTATGTACGTGTCTCACGCAGTGAACTGACACTCCAAGATGTTGAGCACTTGTGGTTCCCGTTGAAATGTTGACCCAGCTCTTTAAGACTCCCACCATGCTCTATGCCATCACATCACAGCAGGAATCCCATGCTCACAGTTTCATGCTTATTAAAGCAAACAACCACAGTGTCCCCGCACAACGCACTGTGTGCCAGGGCCCCTGGAGCTTTTTAAATTAACACAGTGAGAATCAATTGTCAGGGTAAGGAACTAGCAGCCTTACTGAATCCAGCGGGCCTGGCTGGAGGTCTAGGAAAGGACTAGCAAAATGCTCAGCAGAGTGTCTTGTGGAAAACCCGGAACTGGTTTGTTCTGGACTCTCTGCTTTTGCCAGGAAGGTGGGAACAGGCTACTCCCCACAAAACTTGTATTACTGCACGTGGGTCAGGCTCAGGCTCTCGGGGTGAAGGGGGTGAGGGTGAGGGAGTTGGGTTAAGAGGCCTGGACACAGAATAAATCCAGCATGAGGAGTGCACAGCAATCCCACGTGATTTCTTCTTCCTTCCCCAGAGTAAACAAAAACACATGCACCTGCACAGATGTGCAATGGGGGGTTACTCGCACACACATGTGGTGAGCTTTGATCCATCCTTCCTTAACAAATGGACTTCTACACACACAGCCACTCCCTTGGCAATCTTTCTTCCCTTGATACCCCCACCCCCACGCACGCTGTCCCTCTGGAATCCAGTTTTATATGACAATCCATATTGCAATGCATCCCCCACCCCCAGCATGCATACATGCTTGGGAATCCATTTTTTGGGGATGGGGAGATCCAGTTTTGATAATCTGGATTAACCTCCCTTTCCCCTTCTCTCTCACACACACATTCACCATGAGGGGTCCTGTTTTACTGAGCAATCCAGAATAACACTCCCCATGTACCCTCCACCACCACCACACCTCGGTGCTCTTCCTCACGAGGAATCCAGTTTGCTGCAAGCACGCTCAGGATTCCAAACGGAGAGAGAGAATGCAGCAGCTGCTGCTCCTCATGGCAGGCAGGAGCTCAGTGCTGTGCTCTGGGGAGAGCCCCTAGCCACAGAGCCCGTGCAATCAGCTGGTCTGAGAGAGAAAAGGATTCCTGGGGCAGTGACCCAGATTCCACTTTCCTGGGGGAGTAATGAGGACCCAGGAGACTGACATGACCCACTCTTAACCTCCCCTTTCGCCCCCCTCTTGGCCAGTCCTCAGCATCCTTTCTTCCTCCAGCATCCTGGCCCCTCTCTCCTGATTGCACCGCCCACTCTCCCTCCCATCTCCTCTCCTCAGCTTTATGCGGACTGCAGCGATGCATTGTGGGAAACTCCCAGGGTGGTTTTTTTTTTTTTTGCCTCTTCCGTCCTCCCTCCCTCCTCTCTGCAGAACATCCAGCTTCCAAGGTGTGACTTGTGCGAACAACAGTCTGGGGAGAGAAGGTAGGGGCTGCTGCTTTTCTTACCTGCCCTTCCATACATACCAGACCCAAGAGGGAAAGAGGAGCACACAGGCCTGAGTCTGTGGAAGGCTGTGTGGGTGGGTGGGTGAATAGTGGTTGCATGCAGGTGAATAGAGAGAGAGAGAGAGATCTGGATCTGCCTGTTAAAGGTGTGTGTGCTCATTTCTGCAGCTCTCTGTGTGACAGAGGTCATGGGACTGCCATGCCAAATGTGTTTGGACTGCCAGTAATTGTCTCTATTGATGCATTGGTCTCTGCCCACACAAGCAGGGCAGTCTGGCCAAAACAACAGTGAATGCAGAGGAGAGCTCACTTTGAATGCCTTCTGTTCAAAAGCCCGCTCTCCTGTGTCATGCCTTGCTCCCTGAAGGTCAGATAGTGAGGGGGAAACATTCACACAAGTGTAAGCACTGCATGTGCCTAAAATCCAGATGGACAAACTGCATGGCTCTGTGTCACTTGCTTATTTCCTTTGCTTGCTTGGTTTGCAGGAGGTACCGCTGTTGCATAATTATTGCTGCGGATGCTCCTGAGAATCTCCGCTGTGATTTCTGGGGGGCACGTTTAGAATTCGTCCTAAAACCGGATTAGAAAGGGAGAGCGGCAGCAGCATGCTGGAAATACAGAAGTGGTTTTAACGAAATAAAACCACAGATGGCTAGATTAGGAAATCCATTTCTTTTTGAAACTGCATCATCAGCTAAAATCTTTTCAATAGAAACGGAGCCTTTAAAAAACAAATCGCCAGCCTTTGTTTTGGATTCTAGCTGTACATTTTTTTTTCAGTCTTGAATGGATTATTTTGTTCGTTCTCATTTACATTCTGCATTGACGGTTTCATTTCTCTGTTTAATTAGTCATTAATCCTGCAGGCAGGATGCTAAACAAACAAATACACTTTGAAATTCCCATCAACCCAATTAGTTGCTATTGACATTTTCCTGCTCAAAGGATTTGTCATCTTTTTCGGGGGTGGGTGGGGGCGGAGGGAATCCTTTGGATTCTTCCCCCTCCACTTCCCCCCCAACCTCCCCCCCCCCCATATTGTGCTAGAAACAGCTGTGTGTCAGAGTCTGCCAAAGAAAAGGAGATGGACTACAGATATACAGGTTTCAGAGTAGCAGCCTGTTAGTCTGTATTCGCAAAAAGAAAAGGAGGACTTGTGGCACCTTAGAGACTAACCAATTTATTTGAGCATAAGCTTTCATGAGCTACAGCTCACTTCATCGGATGCATTCAGTGGAAAATAAATATAAACATCTCCCCTAAAACACTCCAGAAACTGTACATTAGGAATCAGATGGTAAGAATAATGTGTGTTTAAAGAGAGTGACATTTCCCTACAATGATCAATGTACCGGTGCCTCTTTGCAGCCAAAAGGCTAGGTGATTCCAACTTTGTCTGTGTCCTTGCTACGTCCCCCTCATTTGTTATAACCCACTACGACAGCTTAAAGAGAGCTATATGGTCTGTAGCTGTCGTAGTGGGTTATAACAAATGAGGGGGACATAGCAAGGACACAGACAAAGTTGGAATCACCTAGCCTTTTGGCTGTAAAGAGGCACCGATACATTGATCATTGTAGGGAAATGTCACTCTCTTTAAACAAAAAGAAAAGGAGTACTTGTGGCACCTTAGAGACTAACAGATTTATGCTCAGATAAATTTGTTAGTCTCTAAGGTGCCACAAGTCCTCCTTTTCTTTTTGCAAATACAGACTAACACGGCTACTACTCTGAAACCTCTCTTTAAACACACATTATTCTTACCATCTGATTCCTAATGTACAGTTTCTGGAGTGTTTTAGGGGAGATGTTTATATCTATTCAGATGCTTTTGCTTCCTCTTTTTGTCTGTGTATCTTCACAAAAGACGTGTGAATATGCCTGTTGATTTGGTCTCTTTGCTCCTAATTAAGCTGTATATACATATCCGTGTGATCCTGGTTCTGATGGAGCCCAGGGGTAGGTAGGTAGGGTGACCAAATAGCAAGTATAAAAAATAAGGACAGGGGGTGACGGGTAAATAGGTGCCTATATAAGAAAAAGCCCCCAAAATCGGGACTGTCCCTATAAAATCGGGACTTCTGGTCATCCTATAGGTAGGGGACAGTTGTTATCCATGACTCGATGCCATCCTGTGCAAACTTCTCCAGCACAGAGGTAGCAGGGGGCAAGAGCATGGGTCTGCCCACGACTTTTCCATCTAAAGGGGTGGGGTTGGTGTAGAGATAGCATAAGGAGACAGAGGAGGCATTGAGATGACTTGATCTGTTTGGCCCTCAGTATTCACCATCTAGAAGTTTGACCTTCATGGTTTTGACCTTCAATATTTTCTTTCTTCCTTTCTGGGTGAGGGGCATGGGCCAGGCTCCCACACGATTATTCTTTTAACCCTGTTGTATGGTAGAGAAGTGCCAAGGACAATCCCATGCTCTCATAGACATGCACATTCTTCGGGAGTCTTGTTTCTTTATTACCACGCACTCCTCTGGCTGTCTGCAAGGGCCACAGTTCGGCTCGCATTCTGGCACGATGGCATCTATTCTGTTTGGTCAAGCCTCTGGCTGGGAGTTGGGAAAATCAGTGCAGCCAGGAGCGGGGATGTTTTATAGACAAGTGTTTGTTGTGTGGGTTATAATTAACATAGAGTGATGAGGCAATGGAGGCTGGTAATGTGCTCTTCAGTAGAGCCTTTATTGGCATTAGCACTGTGTCAGAGAGAGAGAGTGCAAATCTTTTGTTGCTTAGCTTGGTAAATCACAGGTGTGCATCGCCCAGGGCCCTCCCCGGGGCATGTGTGCTGTTCTCAGCTATCAGTCCCAGCCTCAATCTCAATCTGTATCCGCAGTGCATTCATTGATTTCAAATGCAGAGCGACGGATTTAGGCCTGTCTCTGTAATCCACAGAGTGTAAAATTTGGTATCTTGTTTTGTGCATTCAAAATCGCTCGTGTAATCTTTCTGTCTGCCACAGCACAGCTAATTGGGGAATTGCTCATGACACAGACTGGGAATTATAAAGTCCAGAACTCAATTAGGGGAGAACAGAAGGGACTAGTTATTAGGAACATTAATAAGCTAAACAGAGCTGTCAGAGGCATTTTGTATTATTATTATTATTGTTATTTTTCAGTATCTGAGATTATCCTTCCCCTTTCTCTTGCCTGTGATTCACTGTACTTGAGAGGGAGAAGAGTCTGCTGATTTACAATCAAGAAGCAGACTTGGGGGCTAGGAAAAGTGTTGTCAATCCCCTGGAAATCACAATCCCCATTCAGGGTTGAGCACACAGGAAAAATCTCATGAGATCAGTCAGAGAAGTGGCATACAGGTGATACTGCAAGCCTGACACGTAGATCGTAATGCACTTGGCAGTTTGTTCAACAAAAACTGAATCCCATTCTTGCTGAGTTTTGCCATTGATTTCAAAGGGAGCAGGATCCCAATTTCTGGGGCACCCACAAGGGTGTGGGAACAATTCATATAGTGGGGGTGCTGAGAGCCAGTGAACCCTGTAAACACTGTATCTGATCAAAACCAAGCACCCTCAGTTCTAGCACGTATGGACACCCACCATCTTGGCTGATGCACCAGAGACCTCCCAGAGCTAGCAGGAGTGTTTACAGCTGAAGCTAAAAAGCCAGACACTGTAGCAGGGAGCCGTAATACATTCATATGCTCTGTGAACCGAATGCTGGTGGGGATGCGTAACGCACACTGACCCTGGCTGGTCGGTTACAATTGCATCAGCGCTGCAAACCCATTACTGAGCAGAAAGTCTCAAGGGATTGCCCCCATCAGGCTCATTACTGTAAGAGAGGCTGGTTATTCCCTTCTGAAGCTGCCAAAGGAGACTCCGAAGCAGGTAACATAGACACTGGTGAGCAGAGGTGAGCTTTTCCTGGGACTCTCTGAGCACCTAGCTTCCTGCACTGAGCAGGCAGCCCTTGTGGAAACACTGAGTGGAGTCAGACGCAATATGGCATGAGGCTAAAAACATGAAGGGGGAATCATAGGCTATAAAGGAGGCTTTGCAATTGACATTGATCTATGGTTGAAAGAACATAAAGGGCCTCTAATGTGCAACAGCAAAGAAACGCTGTTGAGGTGACTCCTAAATGGGCTTTAAGACACTAGTGGCTTCTCCATCCTCCTCTGTCAATTATACCTTTATGCAGATCTCCTAAAAATCAAGAGCACGTCCTCAGAAACATAAGCAGCCTTTTTCTCCAGGCGTGCAAACCTCAGAGGCTAGCGTCGTCTGACTGGCTCTGGGGAGTGCTGGGGAAATGGTTGGGTGTCATCAAAGAAATAAAGAGGGTACGTCTGTTAAATGTGCAGGAGCAATCACAGTGCACAATGAAGCCTGCCAGGTAACAAGGGAACAGGAAAAGCTCTCGGGGATGAGAATATTGTCAGGATGTGGGGATGGCTCAATGGTCTAAGCCTCCGGTTTCCATTACCCAGGCTGTGACCAGAGGTGCAGGGCCCATCCAGTTCCTCCAGTGTCCCGGGTAAATAAATGGAGATCCCTGAGAGTGAAGCCTTCAAGGTGAGATGGTAAGAACAAAGGTTCCATCTCTGCCTTGACCATGAAGGTCTTCATAGCAGTTTTCATATCAGAGTGTGATCTGGTAAAACTTCCGTCCCCTCCTCACCCATACTGCTGTGTAGCATGGTGGTAGTCTGGACTGCAGTAGCTCTGTTGAAGGGATCCATTGTATGTCCATATGCCACATTTCTGGGGTTGATATCCCTGTGGTAAATATTCTTGGTCATGTGCCTTTGACTGCCTTACCTGCACTCTGCCTGCTAATCCATCTCCTCCGGGATTACTTCCAACATTCCAGATCCCTGCACTCTCTAAGACAGCCACGATTTTCAAACAAATCAACCTGGACACCTGTTTCCTTCTTTCCTCAAAATACTACAGTGATTCAAGGCCCAGAGGAGCAATATTCAGTCCTGGTTCAGGGA